TCGTTTTGTCCTCCAAAGTCAGTAATTAACTCGTTTTTGCGTGTTCAATTTTCTCGGCTTTTGTCGCGCGACAAAGAAAAAAAATATAATTTCTTGTTTTCTCATCAATTGTAATACACCTCAAGTTGAGTTCTTTTTGTTGATTTTTTTAAAATTTTGGCCCGTCATTTGTTCAACTTTAAATAAGCGATGTCTTAAAATCTGATCTTATACATGGCTGTGGTTACTGGGCATATGGTTTATTTTTCTGCTTTCGCTCGCTCTGAAATATTTCAAAAAAACTCCAGGGAATTAGGGGTAGGCTGTGAATCATTTCGTCACACCCATGTTTCGAGCCAAAAATTATACAAATTTTAAATTTGAATCCGCGCAAGCGGAACAAGTGGACTTCATTTTATAGAAGTAGAAGTCTACTTGTGGTAAGTCTATCTGCAGGCGTTCATGCGGGATATTTTGGTCTATGTAAGCATTAACTTTGAATGGCTACCCTGGAACTGCAAACACTCATGCCCCGTCCACACTACGCCGGAGAAATTTGAAAAGGGTGTTAATCACTCTGAAAACATATCAAATGCTTTCCGCCCACACTTCATAAACACGTGGCTCAATCGAGTAAGGAGCCAAAAAAAAACGGATGCTCTCGCAGGCTAGTTTTTCTTCCAATCATTTTCATTGTTTTTAAAGCCAATTAAACTTAAGGCTGCAATGGAACTTGATATTCTTCGCTGTGGATACACTAGGCAACTTGTTCATTCTATATTCTTCTTTCTTCTTCACCATCTGTATACCTACATTGGTTCCTCTCTTTTTGCTTAATTTTCTCAAATTTCTCTTGACAAAGGAAAATAACCCTTGTTTCCTTGTCGCCTTGTCGCAACTTGAAATGAAAATATCGCCTAGACTTTGCATTTCACGAAATCTTTACATCGGAAAATGCCATCGAAAATGACATGAACGTGTCCTTGTACGTCCTTACATGCAGAACCTGAAAATGCCATTTTGCAACAAAACTCAAAACTGGTTTGTGTTTATCTCATTTGATAAAGAGAGAATGATTAATGTTTTCATTAAGACAGTATTGCCTTGATTTTTCAATATTTCCAATGTTCACTTTTCACCCACATTTACTGCCAACTATTTCTTGGTGAGTCAGAAACAAAAATGATAAATAGTTAAAACACATGACATCGTCCACCCTTGTCAAATGTAATAGCATGATCTTTTCAATTGTAATGCCTTCTTATCCAAATATTACTTTGTTTCTTTGGTACCTTATTAGCGAACACTGAACTACTGCTCGTACCCTGAAAATGAAAATCAACCATGATATTCCCTAAACCAGATAATATTAAACATAATCCAGAAAATATCTTAATTCATTTGTTCAATTTACGAGTTTGCTCACAGAGCTCTTTTATTTCCTTTGTTTTCAGCCTTGCTCCTCTAGCTCTTCACATCTTTTGACAGTTTAAATGACAACATTTTATGACCTATGATGTAACCACTATAAAAGGGTTTCCAATTTTACCAGAAGTTGGCCTCAGTTTTTCAGTCCAAGAGTGGAGTTAATTTTTCCTTCATTCCAGAAGTCTCAAGATAAGCTAAATGTAAGTCAAAAAACATTTGGGTTCTTGTTTTTGAAAGTATTTTA